AAGTCATAAATAACACATATCATTCTAAAATATATAGTAATATATTTGTTTTGTAAAAAATAAACTAAATTTAATATAGTTTTCTCATTAATTTTAAAATTTAAGAATATTTTTTTAACAAACACCCGTGTAATACACGGGTGTTGTACTAGTTAAAGATAGATTTGTAAATTTATTTTTCATTTTAAGAAATAATATTTCATTTTATTTTAATAGATCTTAATATCATAAAAAATAAATAAAGTAATTCATTTTTCTACCCGTTTTGTCGTTAGCATAGTGCAAATATAGTAAGGGATTAAATCTTTGTGATATCAGTAGTTACTGGATTTACAACATTTGTAGATATTCAAGAATCTCCAATTATTCTAACAATAATTATCTTACCGATGTTGAAGAGATATTTGAAATGTAGAATCACAACTATTCGAATATCACAAATACTCTTTTCTTTTTGTTCTTGTTCATTGTGTTGTGTTGCGTTGGAGTCGTTTCTTTGGTTTGGGTCATTTGGCCCCTGTGAGAGGGATTACTCCGTTGGAGTCGTTCCACATTACCTCATTTGGGGTCGTTCCACATTACCTCGTTTGAGGTCGTTCCATAGTTAGGGCTTTGTGTTGTGTTGCGTTGTTCGTTCAGGTGTTGGTGTTTGAGTCGTTTTCATTCTAGCCTTGCTAGCGAGTCTAGGCGGACCTCGGTTTAGCCTCCCAGTTTGTATTTCCGCACTTTTGTGCGCTTATCTATAGTACATCTATCGTTTCGACAAAAAAAAAAGAATATCACAAATACTCGGCCATTCTTTCACGCGGAATATAGTTAAAAATAAAATCTTATTCCAAACATCTATTTATGAATAATAAGAATAATGTTAATTCAATTTTAGAAAGTACTCGGCCAAAAACACTAATTACCTACTATATATTGAAATCTATATCGATACTAATATACAAGATTGTTGGTAAAATCATTTTTAGTAAGTTTAACCAAAATAATAAATGAG